AAAAAAAAAAAAAAAAAAAGAATTCATTTATCATTCTAATGTACTAGTTTTAATGCTCACATATAAAATAGGTAGAAACAAAGAAAAAAGAATGCTCAAAATAACTCCACTAACAAGATTTTTATTTGATGTTCACAGTATTCTTTTGTACATATATACAGAAATATATACATATATATATTTGATGCTTGTTAACTAGTCAATTAGGATGAAATAAATTGATTTTAAAAATTATAACTGAATAGTCCTGACAAATGACCCTTTATTCATATGAAAGCATCAGGTAAATATGAAAATTTTTTCTGAATATACAGTAAATAATTTACTTCAGCAACACACATGCTGCTGAGATTTGTGCTCTGAAAACATTTATTACAATTACATTTTGTTTCTAAGTAGGGAAATACCAATTACTTAATTTTATACTCAGAATGACACATAAGTGACATTCCATCACAATGCATTTTGAATAGTAACTATGGAAAAATTAATGACAAAACACTGATCTTGCACATATTTTTAGGAAGGAGAAAAAGCCCAATATATATATACTGTCAGTGAACCGTGAGCCAACTCTAATGTTCTATATTAATTTAGTAACAGATTTTTCACATATTATTACTTTACAACCAGTTCCCATTGAGCAAATGGTAGCAAAAAAAAAAAAAAAATCCAGACTATAATTTATGAAGAGACAATGACAAGGACCACAAACCTCACCTGAGAATTCTTTATAAGTCATTACTCTGAGAATTTTGGCATTCAGACAAAAACTAGGCTATTTATATTACCCAACATCAATAAAAACCCATACCACAAAGTTACAGGAGGGTATTTCACTAAACATCCAAAGAGCAAAAATCTTATCCTTATTATTCTGATGACTGACATGATTCTTTAGTTTAGCTCTCTGGCAAATGCCACATGGTTAGATTTAAGTGAATTTTCTTATTTGATTCAACTGTCGAATAGATCATATCCACAGAGACAGAGTAATCTGTCTCATCATATTAAACATTACTGGGGCACATTGCCTACCTGACAGAATGGAGCCAGGGGTTCAGGTGACAAAAAGAAAGGTAAGTAAGTAGAAATGTTCATTTGTGTCCAGTTTCACAAAGATAAAGAATGCTACGTACAGTGAATGAGCATCATTTTAGTGAGTTTAATATGAACCTATGTAAAAATGTGACTGGTCAAATACAACATTTAACAATTTGGACCTGCCTTTATTCACACACCCTTATTTTAGTGATGTATAGGTAGTAGAGAAAATCGTGAATATTAGGTGTGTGAAATGTCCTTTCATTCTAAGTGACTGGGAATGAATAGCAACTTTGCTACAATCAAGTCAACAGGCAATAGCTCCTGCCACAATAATTCTTGTCAATAAATGCAAATATTTCCTGTGTTGCCAATATTTTTCTTGTCACTTTCATTATTAAAATAAACACAACAATTATCAATTACAGAATTCTAAATATGCACCTGGATCTGTGCTATTTTTAAATGCAGAACAACACAAAATTCTCACAGTAATCCCACTTCCACTTTGTAAGGCAAGATAATACATTACATGTGGCAGAAAATCTTGAGATTCTGGTTGTCATTTTGGTTTAGTAAAATGCTTCAAATCTCATGATAATTTTTCTGCTGAGATAATAAAAGTAAAAATAATAATGTTTTGTGGGTTGAATAAATACACCAGAGATTAATGTTGTATAGAACAGTCTGGTTAAATTCATTACATTTCTTTCCAATTCCTCTATTTCTTCCTCCAACTCATCAGCTAAGTTTGTCTTGGAAGTTTGATGATTTCTTGCAAAAGATTATTTTGCAAGCAATGAGTAGGCAAATGCTGAAGTTCATCGTGCTTTTGAGTTTCTTACAAGCTTCCTTACACCTGCCCTCTCCTCTGAGGAATGTATGAAATCTTAGCTTCCTCCAGAGAGTGAGAAGGGGAGAGACACCTGGGGGGTGGTATTTTTGAATTGTCAATTCTTCCTGCAGCACAGTAGGTAAAAGTCACTTTGCACTTCGTGTATTTCCCACCAATATCCATTTGTGAACAGAATGGAAAGGAGAGGAAGTCACAGCACGAGAGTAAGAAATGATGGAAGATGAAGAGGAAGAAAACAATAATGCCTTCTTTTTTTGTTTTCTAACCTCTAATATCTCCCATTGTTTCAATCAAAATCATCTATCACTTGGATGGTCATATATTTGATAATCAGGGTGCTGTGACTTCCTATGAAGTTTTCAACATTCAGTAAAAGAAACTGATTCTCCCCCTATTTGTCTACTGAGATGGTAGAAATATATATTTTATGAGAAAATATTTGATAAGATGAGATTTTAAAATCATACCTCTTTGCCCTCTTTTAAAAATAATTATCTTCTTATCTGGATTTTGTACCACATTCTAATTTGACTGGAGATTTTAAAAAAAAGAATGGAAATGTCTAGAGTGAAATTAATAATCTGATTGTGTTTTGAATCGTGAACTACAAAGTGTTTCATAGCTAGTCTTTCCTGGGAGCCAACATACTGTCTTGGACTAATCCAAACTAAAACCACTGCTACCCACAACTTTAGAATTCAAGGGAAATGAAATACTGAGTGGAATTTAAAATAAAAAGAATCAAATTTGGTGTAGAGGGTTCTCTGGTGTAGATACTAATATCTTCTTGATACCTATTATTATATTTTTTAAAAACCATGTGGTCTTCTTCAATTCCTTTTACCACCTCTTTTCCCTCCTCCATCTCTTGTTCCCCCAAAATAAATGCATTTGATTAATTAAAAAAATATTGGGCCAGGAGTGATGGCTCATGCCTGTAATTGCGGCACTCAGGAGGCTAAGGGAGGATTGCAATGAATTTGAGGCCAGCCTGGGCTACATAGTGAGTTCCAGGCCAGTCTAAACTAGACAGTAAGACCTTCTTTCAAAATAATAACAAAATTAATTATAAGCTCTCCCTAAGAAATGCCACAAGATATCACCTATACCATTTGTAGAGAGATGATCCTAATGTCAGTCATTTTTTTAACTCCACAAATATTTCTGCCACACCTGGCCAGGTCACCAGTTGCAAAGTAAACACAATACAAACGTTTCTTACCCTGAGAGAGGTTTTATTTGAGAAGAGCAAAATACAAATGAACAAGCATAACCCCCCTCCAAAAAAAACCCTCAATAACCACAGCCACAACAAAAAACAAGACATAAGTATACAATTAAATTGAAGAAGGGCAGAGCATCAGGATTCAATTCTTGGAATGATATGTTAGCTGATCTATGACAAATGAGAAGAAGTTAATTAGGTGGAGAAGGGTATGTATGGAGAAGGCTCCAGGAGTCCCCATAAGTATGTCTAAATGAAGTATTTTCAAAATACAAATTCCATCATGTGTCTTCTGTTTCCAATTTAGGTGACTGACTTTATATTCCAAAAAACCCTTCTTCACTACAAACACCTAAGTGCTACAGAAACTACAACAAATATGGTAAACACAGTTTTGCGGTTCTAAGGAAACAAAATAATTCTTCTAAGTGTAAGAACAAGAAAAATGAATGAGAAGTGAA